TGAATGGCCTGTTTACTCACGTAACTCAGAGGGTTTGCCTGATTGGAGGGGTTTAAATTCTTGTTTATTCTGAGGGAGGATTTTTGATCTAATGCTAAGCATTGTTTCCATGGTGAATGGTTTAGCCTGAAAACCACACACATAAATTAAACTGAGTATAAAGGAAAGTACTTTATGTATATTTGCATGTGAACTGGCAGCTGGGCATTGTTTCTACTTTGAATGGTCCAACGTTAAGCCATATCATTAAGAAGAGAAAAGGAAAAATACAAAGTATAAATGGAAATAGTTTGGGCAAGCTGAACATTGTTTCTACTGTGAATGGTTCAGTCTCCTGCCCATATTCGCCTTTTCTTTTGAAAACAAAGTCAGAGAAATACTAAATCTTTGGATATTAAACAACTCAGGGCGACTACGCATTGTTTCCATGGCGAATGACCTAGTCATCTGCCCAAAAGAAGAAAAAAGTAGTTGTGCAACCTGTTCGTGTATATCAAAAAGACAAGTTGGGCATTGTTTCCATGGCGAATGGTCTAATTCTATGTCTTATGTAAGATGGGTATAAGGATTCAAGGACTTGAAGATTCATGAACTGTCTATATGAAATGAAGTTGGGATGGTGAGAGTACTTACATTCGTGGTTTGGTTTGCATGTGACTGGATGAGATGACTAGTTAGTTTGGGCTTCAGTATTATAGGTAGTTGCTTTAGTTGCTCGCCACGTGCTAGAGCCATAGGATTTAGTGTCAATTCCTGCATTTTCTGTAATAACTTTTTTTTACTTAGGTCAATTCCCGAATTTTCTGAGATTTTTTTCTTATACTTGACTTTGTATAAATCGTGGCAAGCTACTTTTCCTACGGGAAGCGCTGCCGAAATTTCTACAAATCCAATAAGTTAGTCAACTTTTGACTTGTTAGAGTTTAACTTGTCTTTTCCATATATGGCTTAGTATAAATCTGGAAAGTCTCCTTTTCTAGAGGGAGTGTTGCCCAAATTTTTACTAATTCAGGGAGTTAGACAAAATTGGACTTTGAGAAGTCAATATTATTCTTAAATTCTGGACCTCGCTTTGTATAAATTTTAGGAAAACACTTTTTTAGAGGGAGTGCTGTCGGAATTTCTGGAAAACTTAGGAGTTAGTTAAATCTTATCTAAATTGAACTCAAGTTTGTCTTGTGAGTTCAAATCTGACTTAGTATAAATCTGGGAAGTCTCCCTTTGTAAAGGGAGTGCTGCCCAAATCTTTACTAAATCAGGGAGTTCAACAAAATTTGACTTTCCAGGAGTTAGAGATTATTTTTGCGTTCATATTTGAGCTTATATCAATTTTGGAAAGACACTTTTCCTACGGAAAGCGCTGCCAAATTTTTTTTAGTTTAGAGGAGATAGATTATATTTTGACAGGTGGAGATTCAGGCGATCCGCCCTGAATGAGGGAGATTCTGCAGTTGGTCTACCTTTGGCTTAAGCACTGACTTAGAGGTAGACTTAGGCTTAGTTTATAGGGAGATTTTGAGTGAGGATGTATTATGGAGTTGTATTCTCCATACACTTATGATCTTAGCTTGGGGATTGGTYTGYGGTGTGTTACARGTCTTTTTGATCATTTGATTCAAGTCCAGGGCTAGATCCAGCTTGATCCCTTAAGGATCACTTTCTGTTATCACTGATAACAGGTCGGTTGCCGATTCGTCGGTGTACGACTCAATTTCAACTCTCTCTCTCTACACTCAACCTAAAAGGCTTTAGCTCTGGTGATTTCGTTGTTTTTATTAAGGTTTCACCCGGACTTTTATTGAATGATCATTTAACAAAGGTACTGAGTATTTAATTAAGGTTGGTTGGACAAGAGGTTTTGGGGCTTGCACGGCTAAAGCGAGGGGTATGAGTGTCGAAGGTGGTTGGGGTTGACTCCGTGTAGTGTGTGGGTTGTTGATTTGGTTTGTTGATGTGATTGCAGGTATGTGCTGTGAATCAGATTCTGGATTTGGTTGCCTACAATCACATATATACGTATTATTGTGAGAGACCGCAGTGAGGCCGTGAGAAGTGATCGTCACGTACTTAACCCTTATATATGTTTATATGGGTATACTTGGGATGAATGTTTGCATGGGTTTAAGAGTCCCCATACTAAAATCCTACTCAGAAGCTGAGGCTGAGGGGCTTAGGGGAGACCTCTCCTTCTATTTTCGTTCTTGCTTTTTGATGATTTTTCTTAGTCAGATGTTTGGTCCTGGGCCGGGATTCGAGGTCCTTGTCCAGGACACCCCAAGCCCTAGGCTCTGCTTGGGAGGGGTTTTCCCTCGCGCAGAGCCTATTTGATTTGCCTACCGAGACACTCAGGCCGAGAGTCGGAGGTGCCGCGGCGGCTGCACGACTAGTCCTTCAGCCGTGCAGTGTCGTGAAGGGTTAGGCCCTCACGACACTTCGAGTCTGACACTTGCGTGTCATAAGCAGTACTCGGATCCACGAGGGACCGCTTGATTATGGGCACTACATAGTACGCCATCATTGCGACTGCTTGCGTACGCCTGCATTGTAAGTTGATATGAGTAGGCTTTGAGTCAGTGCAGTTTTATACTAAGTATTGCGCGCGACGCTTACCTGATTTCCGCGTCGGAAAGTTATGGGTTGGATACCGAGGGGCCAGGAGCGCTGTCGCGTTATTATGTTGTGTTGTTTCGTACGTGTGTGTATACGCGTGTTTTATTTTTGGTACTTGTTAGAGTGGTGTGCGCGTGGTGTGTGGGATGCGTCCTTGTCGACCGACGATAGGTCGCGCTTGGGACCTCAGCCTCCCCAAGATGCCGATACGCGTGCGGGTCCGATAGAGGTGTATTACCGCGCGTACCCCTATGCTACAGCGAACGAGAAACGCCCTCGGCTGGTCCACCTCTGCGATTGCAACTGATTAGCTTTCGTATTGTGGACTGGTAGCTCGGCGGGGATACGCGCACCGAAGGGAGGTGACAGCTCCCGTAAGGTGTAGGTAAGCCGTGCCTCGTGTAGGCCCTATCCTGTCGTAGGGGCTCGCGAGAGGCATGGCTGACGCACTCGGCCGGAGCGGCTTAAGGAACCTCAACATGTATTATCTGCGAAGAAGGATTTAAATCAACTTCTGCGTGACCCGGCCGGGAGGGTCCCGCGCTGCCCTGGTGCGGTGCCGGACCGATGCGCTCGACAGGTGGCGCCGTTGCCGGGGATAACGGAAAGCCTACCGTTGTCACTGGTGGAACGACATCCGGGTATGAGAAGTGAGTGAGAAAAGGCATAAAGGAAGGACGAAAAAGTGAGAAAAAATAATGAATGACTAAGTATAGGTGAGGAAATTTACCTATCTGAGTAAGGCAAGGTATGAAGGACGAACGTGTAGCATTGGGTAAAGGTACGTACTAAGGCTTAGGTAGGACGGATGGAATAGACCGGTCAAGGTGTAATGCTGAATAAAGGGATGTGCTTGTTTTTCTCTTATCAGAGAGCTTGACGAGAAAGGTCTGTCAGGATGTCGTAGGGCGGCGGCGCATCGGGTGGTCCCAAGAAGGGTCTGACGCTCGATGACCTCATTGCGGCCATTGACCGGCATGAAAGGAACCCGAGCAATATCCCTAAAGTTGATACCTTCCACTTTTGTGGGGAGAGGGTTTCAGAATGGCTGGAGCGGGTGGAACAAACTTTGGTCGGGCGGTCGGACGTTGTAAAGTTCCAACGCATTCTTCAGTATGTCCTCCACAACTACCACCAGGAAGTGAAGAAAGTCATAGATGCGACCCAAGGTAGCTGGGAGAGGTTCAAGGAGGGGATGCAGAGGAAATACCGCCTGGGAGACGGGCTATTGACTACCGCGGACCTTGAGGCAATGAACAACGAGGATTTTACGACGATAGGGGGCTTTGTTCAAGAATTTAAGAAGAGGGAGCGGAAGGTCCATGAAATTTCGGAGGAAGCACAGTGCGCCATTTTCCTAGGGTTGCTCACGGCATCGGAGGCCGTCGAGTTGACGAGACATGGAGGGGGTAGCACCAGGCTCACCTGGGCCACCATTGACAAAAAGGTGGAAGTTGGGTGTTTGGACCAGGTGGAGCAACGTCAGGTACGCCTGCAAAGGCAGAAGAGAAAGGAAAGAGATGTGACCACTTCTGGAATCCCGGGGTAACAAGGATTGTTACCGACGTATTGGCACAGCTGGGGTATGCGACAGAGCCGGTGGTGCAAAGGAGGGTAGTAACGACTGTCCAAGTGAAAGGAACGGAGCCGGTGATAGAGGAGGCTGTTCAGGAGGAGCTCTGGGAAGAGAAAGAGTCGGTGCCGCAGCGCCTGACGAACGCCCAACGCAAAGTGCGTAACTTGGCGCAGGGCAGACAGGGATCAGGAAAAGCGCAGGTGCCTCAGGCCTTGACAGCAACCCCTTTGAATGTGGCGGCTCCATCGTCTAGTACGGGCCCCTCGCAAGGAGGGGCGCCCTCCTACGGACAGTGGCCCTGGACGGTGATCAATGCAATCGTACCATGGGGTAGCCCGTCACCAGTAGCCGGACCGCAAACGAGTATGCCGCCACCCTTCTACCCTGCAGCCCAGGCCCAGCCTGTGGCCCCGCCACCGTCACCCGCTCCGAGTTCATAGGGAAGCGTGGCAGGAGGTGGGAACCAGGGGCAGGGCAATCAAGGCAACGGAGGGAGGGGTGGAGGAAGGGGGCGAGGCAGGAATGACGGCGGAAGAGGAAGGCAATGGAATGGTCAAGGCCAAGGGTACCAGGGCCAAGGGAGTCAAGGCCAGGGGTATTAAGGCCAGGGGTACCAAGGCCAAGGGAATCAAGGTCAGGGGTACCAAGGCCAGGGGTACCAAGGCCAAGGGTACCAAGGCCAGGGGGATCAAGGCCAGGGGGATCAGAGAAGTCAGGGGTATGGAAGACCTTGTTTTGACTGGAGGACGACCATCTGCCAACATTGTGACCAACAAGGCCACACTATAAGGTTTTGTAATATAGGACGGGAAGACGAGAGGAGCGGGCTGATTTCCTCCACTATGGATGGGAACATCTACGATCAGTTTGGGGAGGCTATTGACAGAAGGCTTGGAGGAGTGAGGGCGGAAGCCCAACGAAGGGCAGCAGCTGGGCCGCCATTCCCTGCCATGTTCAGGCTATGGCAGGAGAAGAAAGGACCGTCGGTGGGGATAGAGGAATTCAGGTTATGGCAGGAAAAGGAAGAACCACCGATTGGGGTAGAGGAAGTGGGAAGCGATGAGGAAGTGACTCAAGGGCCGGGAGGAGGAAGTAAGGGGGAAGAGCCCATAATCATTGAGTCAGATGACGAGAATGAGAAAGAAAGGATGGAACCTTCGTTCGTCTTGTTGGGGAAAATGGAGGACATGTTGGATAAGATGGGGAGGTACCAACAGAAGTTGGTGGGCCTGTGTGAGGAGGTGAGGAAATGGAAGTCTAACATCCCCAAGGTATTCCTCTACGACTCTGGTCTGGAGTCAGCGTCTGAGCGACCCAGAGTAAATGTGGTGGGGTCGTGCCCACAATCGGGAATGATGGGGAGACCCCTCACCCCGCAGGCCCGACTGGCACAGACAGCACGAACGAGAAATCAAGCCAAAGCCAGCGCCAGCCAAGAGCCTCCACGGAGGGAGCCAGGCCAGGAAAAAGAAAGGAGGCTGTAGAAGTGGAGGATGACGACAATGAGGAGGAAAAGGACGAGAGGCTGCGCAGGGAGGAGGATCAGAGAGCGGAGCAGCGGGCAAGGAAAAAGGGAGCCAGGGGAGAGGCCGAGCCGGTCGTACGCGACGGACCGCCCAAAAGGAAGAAGTATGTGGTTCGATTGGAGGAGGGGTTTGAAGTGGAGAAAGTGATCGGGCTGCTGGAATGGCATAATGAAATATGACCCTGAAGGAAATCCTAGCGTCGGCCCCACGACTCCGCGATGAACTGAAGGGGAGGTTGTCGTGGCGCTTGGTGCCCAACGTCCATCTGGGCACGATTCTGCCCAAGGAGGCAGAGTGGGCGGAGTCAGGCACGAAGATGGATTCGAAGTGCGTGGCCTGCGGCACGGTGGATTTAGTGGTAAAAGGCTCCAAGTGTGCAGCAATGGTGGACACCGGGGCGAAAATGAACATCATCTGGGAGGCGGACGCGATCAGATTCGGGATGGATATAGACCGTTCTAACTGCGGTATTCTGCACGGAGCCAGCTGCAAGGCCGTATTTTGTGGGACAGCCTCGAATGTACTCATCGAGGTTGGAAAGGTGAGGCCTGGGCTTGCTTCTTCATCATGCCGGGCGTGGATCACGGAATCCTCCTGGGGAGGTCATTCCTAAGCAGAACGGAGACCGTGATATTCAACAAGCATGACGGGACTCTAATCCTTCTCCTATGCGACCCTGCCTGAGGGAATTACGAGATAGTTACCTGCAGAAACACAGGGCCAAGGAGTATAAGGAACCGGCCCAACCCAGGATCCTTCACGATCGAAGAATCGGAGGGCGAGCGCCGAAGGCTTCGGGCGGAGCCCGAAGCAGGAGAGAGGTGGAAGCATTTTCCCTCAGCCTGTCGGACGTAGGGAAGGTCATGGACTTGGTGGCCGCGCATGAGATGGCAGATCCGGATGCCATCCAGGCCTTGAGGGAGCAAGTTTTAAAATGCCGCGAGGCAGGAAGGTTGGAGTTGGTATATCGGCTCCCGGACAGCGGAAGGAACCCCGCATCAGCGCAAGCACAATCTGTGAGTCGGCCTTTTTTAGGGGACGACTCAAGCAGGGTTCCCAAAGGCGGTACAAGATGGTAGATAAGAAGTGTCGTCCGGTTCCCGTCCTCGTCACAGAAGATAAGGAAGCATACTACGGGAGGAAACGAGGGTTGATACGACGAATGAGGGAAAGTGCTATAGCAGGGCCATGTCGTATCAACGAAGGGAACAAGGGGAAGTTGATTATAGGGGAACCCGACTTCCTACTGCCTTAGGAGCGAACGTTGATAGTGGAGTTGATGAAGAGGAGGCATCGCGCCTATGCGTTTAGTGACGAGGAGCGTGACAGGCTGGATGTGGACAAGATACCTATGATCCGCATCCATACCGTGCCACACGATCCTTGGAACATGAGAGGGGCGCGATATCCCAATCCTGACGATGAAAAGAAGGTGGTGGATTACCTCGACGGCAAAATACGTACGCACGTCACCGATTATTCGAGTGGACCGTATGCGTCCCCATGGTTCTGCTTTATCAAGCCTAACGGGACGCTGCGGTGGGTGCAAAATTTGCAAAGACTGAATGTGGTGACCGTGCGGGATGCTGGAGGGTTGCCCAATGCAGACGTGTTGTCAGAATCCTGTGCTGGAAGGCCTATAATCTCACTTATAGACCTTTACTCAGATTATGATTAGTTCCCAGTCTACCCGCCGGACAGGCCTGTGACGGCTATGCACACGCCGCGAGGGCTAATCCACATGAACATGGCCCCGCAAGGGTGGACCAATGCGGTAGCAATGGTCCAACGGGCCATGATTCGGGCTATGCAGTCAGTCAGCCCCCATATCAGACAGCCATACATCGATGATTTGACGGTGAAGGGGCCGACAGTGAAGGAAAGCGACGAAGTCTCGCCAGGGGTGAGGCGCTTTGTCTGGAAGCATATCCAGGACCTCGAAAAAGTCCTGAGCCTGCTCGAGGAACATAACCTCACGGCGAGCGGGGCCAAATCCAGACACTGCATGAGGGAAGCGACTATTTTGGGGTTCGTCTGCAGCGAGGAGGGCCGAAGACCGGATGTGAAGAAGACGGACAAGATTATTGAGTGGCCAGTTCCGTTCCACTCAATAACTGATGTCAGGAACTTCCTTGGTACGTGTGGATTTTAGAGGGCCTTCGTCAAGAACTTTGCCGCTAAGAGTGAACATCTGAGGAAGTTAGTTCGTCAGGACCAGGAATGGGTTTGGGGTGAAGAACAAGAAGAGGTGGTGACTATGATGAAGGAGGAATTTCGAGAAGGAGGGTTGGTGCTAGGAGCGTCAGATTATGATGTCACGGAAACACGACCATTCATTGTCGAAACAGATGCGGGGCCAACTGCCTTAGGAGGAATTCTAATTCAGGCAGACATGGAAGGAAAGGAAAGGCCCTTGCGATTTGAGAGTCGGACTCTCTGTACGACAGAGAGGAACTACTCTCAGTTCAAGAGGGAGACCCTTGCCGTCCTCCACTTTCTGCGGATCTTCCGGAACTACATCTTCGGCAGGAGGTTTATTTTGAGAGTAGATCCGACCGCCTTGGCCTACTCTCTAAGGAATTACGTTCCATCGGATCCGACGGTTGTCAGATGGTTGACGTACATCTGGATGTTCAATTTCGAATTGGAACGGATTCCTGGTAGTAAGAACCGGGCGGACGGCTAAGTCGGATCAACTGGGATAAATAGGAAGGGGAGGTGGTGGAGAATACGCCCCCAGTTGATGGATTTCTGGATCAGGAAGAAGATGTTCGTCTCCACATCAACAAGTGGTCGCCGCGAGTGCCCAGCTGTGCAGGCTATCCTATCTGGCAAGCGCCGAATGGGTATGAAAAGAGGGCCAAGCTAGTCCTCAAACCCTTTTAATAAGAGGATTCCTGAGGTGGTAAGAATGTTCAGTGGATGATGGAGTTAGCGCTGGCCATCTCGCATAGCCTGGTGGAGGATATGAGGACGATTGAGGAAGGGTCTGACCAGGTAGAATGGCATGAGGACCTGATGGGAGGAATGTATCTCTTCGTCAACACGTTATTGGAGGAAAGTCTCGACCAGTCAGGCTCGTTGAACCCGGCAGGGAATGTGGACGAAATGCCCGAGAGCCAGGACGACGAGCTCGAGGAACGGGAGATTAAGGAGATCTTTCGTGCAGAGGAGTATGATGGGATCTACCTAGAGCTGGGACTTCTTTTGTCCTGCGAAATGCAGCTAAGGGATGCAAGCGATAGGACTCAGAGGATGCTGCACCGCTACTTAGTGCAAGACGGCCACCTTTTCGTGAGAAGAGAAGTGGGGAATCCCAGGAGAGTCGTCTGCGGTAGGAATCGTCAGATCGACGTCGTAGCAGCACTTCACGATGGCATTGCAGGAGGGCATCGAGGGGTACAAGCCACGTATGCCAAGATAAGTGAGTTGTACTACTGGGATGAGATGATGGACATGGTCGGGAAGTTCTGTCGATCTTGCGTACCCTGCCAGGAGAGATCCCGTTCAAGGCAAGGAGAGCCGCTGCATCCAAGGCTAGAGCGAGAGGTGGGGGCTGTAGTGCATCTCGATCTACTGTTTATGCCGCTTGGGGATCAGGGCTATAACTATATCTTCGATGCGCACGATAACCTGTCTGGATTCGTAGACGGGCGTGCTATTCGCACAAAGACCGGTTTAGTCTTAGTGAGCTGCATCGAGGAATATTATCTGCGCTATCCTTTCGTCAGGGAATTCGTAATGGACAGGGGATCGGAGTTTACCTACCAAGGGTGCAAAAACTGTTATCAAGGTATGGTGTGGCAACCAATTACACCACGGTCGCGCACCCCCAGGCAAATGCTCCCGTGGAGAGAGGACATAGTACCATTATGAGCCTCCTGGCTAAGTGGACCGAAGGTAGGCCTAATCAATGGCCAAGATACCTAAGGGCAACGTTCTTTGTCGAGAACATTACAATAAAAAGGTCCACCAAGTATGCACCGGCGACGCTGTGGTATGGAAGGCACGCCACCTTCCCTATCGAGAGTTTTCTTAAGACATGGAGACGCCAGGATCTGGAAGTTAGTCTGTCATTCGAAGAACTGCTCGATATTCGGGCGTGGCAGATACGGGCGATAGAAGAAAGGATTCAGGAGGCGTCCGATCAGGTGGCGAGAAGCCGTATGGATGATAAGGCTCGATGGGATCAGCCTGCGCGGGAGAGGAAAGTACCCTTGGCAGTTGGGGATGTCGTGCTTCTCTACGATTCACCGCTGGAAAAGCAGTGGTCCAGGAAACTCGATAAGAGATGGTTAGGTCCCTATCGGATTGTACGGGTCGGAGATTTTGGAGCGTACCAGATTGAGGAGCTAAATGGGACTGAGTGGAAGGATTGGGTATCTGGAACGCGACTGAAGAAATTTGCGGCGAGAGAAGAGGTAAGAGAGATGACCTGACTGCCTTTAGAATATAAGTAATAGGGTGTGTAGGTTAGGTAGGATGCATGTTGTATGAGTGTGGTCTGGTCTGGGCTTGCTTTGATTATCACCTGTTTGCTTACCCCAATGTGTGCCTGTTGTCTCTTTCGCCTGTTGTGCAGGTCTGACTTTACGAAGACAGCCATGCCGAGAGGAGGGAAGCGGACACGGCCGCCTCGGAGGCCGTTGGGGGTATCAGGAGGATATGAGCGGCATGGGCCTCGCCATCGAGAGAGTACTCCGATCTACGATGATGGGGACATCGAGCTATTCCTGGACAGTTTCTGGGAGCATGCGAGGCGTATGGGCTGGACCGTGGCCCAGGCAATCTAGAGACTGAGGGGAGCAGGCAGGTTCGAGGAGCCCGTTGCCAGGATTCGTAGGGAGGCGACGACGAGGCAGGAGGTGGAGACGAGGATGGAGGAGTTGCGACCCTCGTCTGTGGGACTAGATGGCAGGCCGATCCGTCTAGAGATCGGAAATGTGGCAGACTTTATCCCTTCCTTCGAGTGGTTCATGCTGGGGCAGGGTATACTGAGAGATGAGTGGGCGAGGACGTTACCCCTCTGGACCAGAAAGGCGGAGAGGGCACTGGCTAAGCAGGTCAGAGACATGGCCCGGGACTGGGAGAGTTGTAGGGCACATCTGAGAGAGGCCTTTCGATGACCGAAGCCCCCTTAGCCCAGAGTCGAGAGGCGTCAGAGGAGTCAGAGGTAGAGGGACCCTGAGCCGAGGGATGCGAGACCGTCTCGAGGAGGACGGAAGGCCCTAGCCAGGAGAGAAGAGGAACCAGAGTCGGAGCCAGAGGCTGAGGAGCAAGGGGCATACCCTGAGTGTGGGTTGGGACCAATGGAGTTCCATTGGTTTACCGAGGGTGGATTGAGGAGGTCGCCAGCACGCACACAGGAGGAGCCGCCAGCAATCTGAGGGGCCCTTGAGGGAGTTGGAGACACATTTGGATATCTCCCAGTGGAGAGCGTCGCCTTGGGGTGAGAAGCATGGAGAGCAGGCGGAGGAGGTACCACGAGAGGAGGTGTCACAAAAGGAGGTGCCACCGGAGGAGGTACCACGAGAGGAGGTGCCACGAGAGGAGGTGCCACGGGAGGAGGTCCAGGATACTCAGCGAGAGAGAGGGTTGGGCGATGAGGGGAGGCGTGCAGGGAAGGAAGTAATAGAGGTTGGAGAGGAAACGCCCCCACAGACACCAGCGGTGGGTTTGAGACTCGGGGATGCACCAGGGAGCACTCGCCAGACAGGGGAGAGATTGCAGAGAGAGGAGGCCCCATTACCTTCGTCAAAAAAGGCCCCTTCGTCAGAAGGGAGAGCAGAAAGGAGGAGAGAGAGGGTAGCTGTAAGGAGAGAAGCCTTGACCCTGATTGACAGGCACCTAGCAGCTTATGCCCTGGAGCACCCAGACCTGGAAGAGCCAGCATCTGCAGAGTCGCGCCAGGAGCCGTGCCAGGCCGAGAAGGAGATGGAGGCAGAGATCCCGAAGAGGGTCGACCCCTGAGATGTGGAGGGACTTCTGGGAGCAGAGAGGAGAGGAGCTTCCTTCGCCAGTCAGAGCCGGGTTTGGGGTAGCAAGAAATGCGGAAGAAAGATTGGATCGAAAAATCAAGTTCCTGACCAAGACAACTTTTGACCGGCACTTGTTATTGGAGGGCGATCTGGCAGGGAAGAAGATGAAGGAAGCAAGCCATGGAGTACGCCTGGAGGCTATGGAGATGGAAATCCAGGAGCATAGAGGAGAGGAGCTTCCTTCGCCAGTCAGAGCCGGGTTTGGGGTAGCAAGAAAGGCGGAAGAAATATTGGATCGAAAAATCAAGTTCCTGACCAAGACAACTTTTGACCGGCACTTGTAATTGGAGGGCGATCTGGCAGGGAAGAAGATGAAGGAAGCAAGTCATGGAGTACGCCTGGAGGCTATGGAGATGGAAATCCAGGAACTCAGGGCATTGGTGGCCAGCCAGGCAACTATCATTGAGAGCCTGAGGCAGCAAACCCAGGGAAAGGTGGACAAGCCAGAGAGCAGCAGGCAGGGAGAGCAGAGGCAGCCAAGACATGGATTACCAGGACAACCATCTGCAGCAGATCCTCGTCAGGAGCCACCTATGGGGAGAGTGATCCTGGAGCCAGAGGAGGCGAGAGCCCAGAGGCAGGCGGAGAGAGAGGCGTTCGAGTTTAGAGCCCCTATTAAGCTCGCGACGCTGCCAGTGGCGGCAGCGGGCCCAATCGTACCCTTGGCAGTAGAGGAGGGGCTGCCACCATCAAGGAGTGAGTCGGCTCAAGGCTCAGCAGAGGGATCCATGGGTGTGCTCCTTGAGGCAGTGCATACTATGCAGGAGGAGGTGAGTTTGTTTTCACCCGAGCAGAGGATAGAGGAGCCTCTTGAGAGGGAGATGGGGATTGAGGCGGAGGGTGTCATCGAGGGCGGGCTCCAGAGGTTGGGCACACCTGAGTATGGACCAGAGGAGATTGAGGAGCAGCCCATGACAGTGCCAGGAGACACAGTCGAGAGGAGACCTCAGAGGTTGGACACGCTTGAGTACGTCCCAGCGACAGGGGATTTGAGGAGTAGACTGGGATCTTGGACTACTGGATCTGGGTCTGGGGACCGGTTCTTGGAATGGAGCAGCAAGAGGTCGTTAGTACCGCAGGTCCTCGATCAGAGCAGCAGGGGGTTGTCAGTACCTTGGTAGGATCTCCTTCATCGTCACCTCCTCAGCCCAGGAAGAAGAAGTTCAAGAGGAAGGTTGATCAGCTATGCTTCTACTGCAAGAGGGGCATGCATCTGGCTCTGGACTGTCTCGAGTTCCTTGAAGACAAGGCAGAAGGGAAGGTCTCAGAGGCAGGGAGTAAGATTTATGATAGACAGGGTAGGATAGTAGAGAAGTCCGCAGATGGACTTATGGCTCAGTTATATAGGCAAAACCAGGAGGAGTTGAGGAGGTAGGGTCGGTTTATCTATGTAAGTGGGCGAGTATCTTGTGAGGCATCAGCTTAGGTTTTGTGTGATACCCTCTTAGACTTAGAGGACTTTTTTGATGATTGCTACTAGTCTAGGTCTGAACTCTAGTGTTCCTACTGAGCTGGGGTCTTGAGGATCAGGGTGATCTAGATAAGGCATGTACATATTTAGGTGACCTACGCAATGGCTTTGAGAGACAAATCTGACATGTATTTTAGGGATAATTGTCAGCATGAGCTTGGTGTGGCTTGAGTTGAGTGAGCTATGATTTGGAAACTTTTTCTGTGTGAGACATTTTATTTCTCTGAGTGTATATTATGATGAGGTTTTTTCAGGGACCATTCTTATATGTGACGATCACTTGTCTCTCTCTATCATGTGTGGTTGTGCTCTGATATATGATGAGTTTGTGTGGACAATGTGTGAAAAACCTTTTATGTGTCTTGGGTACTGTGAATATAATTGTAACCAAAACTGTCTACTCCTCGGTATACTTGTGCGACCTGCCCACGGGCAGCTGATAGGGCAGAGTATAAGGGGAGGAAGCGCAGCCCGTCTGTGAAAGGTTGTGAGGATTTTGAAGATCTATGAGCTCTGGAGACTCAAAATGTTTACCATGTTGATTATTGATTGCCTAAGTTGTGATGAGGACCCATAAGATGGTCTCTCAGTGATTTTGTTTATGATAAACCCCCTTGGATTTTGAAAAAGGGGATGTTTTGTGATGTTGTCCGTTATGAAAAGACCCCCTCGAGTTTTGAGGAGGGGAAGTTTGGTTTTATGGCGAGACCCCTCGTGATTTCTGGAAGAGGGAGTGTATTGTTTTATGGCGAGACCCCTCGTGATTTTTTGGAAGAGGGGGTATTTTGTTCTGTGGCGAGACCCCTCGTGATTTTTTGGAAGAGGGGGTGTTTTTTTTATGATGAGAGTCTCTTGGATTTTTGGCAAAGGGGATGTTTTTGTTGTTGGGAGACTCACCTTCAAATGTGAGTAAACTGATTTATGACATGGTAAGTTGTCTGATGAGTGATAAAGTCTGACGAAAAGGGCCACTTTTTGGAATGATTGAGAAAGTCGCAATGAGTGCAGGGCGAGAGATGTCTCAGGGTGGGTGGCTGCTGGCTCTGATCAAGTCAGGGGTCATGGCCTGGTGGTTTTAGCGGTGATTTTATTTGTAAGCGTGCGAAGGATGCCATGCCTATTGAGGGAGGGTTGGTAAATGTCTTCGGACCCCTGCGTATCACGCAGTGGGCCAGTGATTTTGTTTTGCGACGCCCCCGTCTAACCACTGGTGCTAATTCTGAGACATATTGAAGAAAGGCCAAGCTAACGAAAAAAAATTAGTACCTCTAGGGCGTAACCCCATTGGATGGCTGCTAACCGGCGGAACCTGGCTGCGCGACCTCGTGGGTAAGAGTTTAAGGGGGGGTGCCCGCCCCAGTGAAATTACTCCGCGGGATAGTGATGGTTAAGAATTTTTGGGGGAAATCCTGATTGAATGCTTATCAGGAGAAAAACCTATCGTTGCGTATCCAACGAGGGTACTGCTGCTAAATAACAATGCGGTGGGCCGTGGTCCTGGTACGATCAGCCAGGCTCGGGTGGGCCAAGGTAGAGACCTAGCCTTTCTGTACTAGACTGCAGAAAGAGCTGAGTGGATATTAAGTATACATATATACTTATGTGCATTTGATTGCGAGAGATTTTGAGAAGGAAGGCGAGAGTGCCTTCAAAAGGTCTCGATTAAGGCCCGCGTCCCTAGTTTTTGCCAGGACTAGGGACACCCAACGAGAAGCCGAAGGTTGTCTAGGACCGGGGAGAGGACGATTGGGAAGGTCTTTAGAACTTATGCGGTCAACGTCCTAATTTCTGGGCGGTGAGAGGCCCAGGTTAAAAACCTGGCAGCATATAGTTGTGGAGGCATGTTTTGATGGAGGTCTCTACCCTGTGATTGTCGGCTAATCGGATTGGCTCCTTTCTCGTCAGCATTTGGAGTGTGGATGAATTTATAGCCTTCTGATTTGGCGAAGCGACGGTGACGTCGCTTAATATGGTCCGGTAAGCTGTCGGTGCAAATACCCTTACAAGGGTATCCGACCTGGGTTTTTGCACGTAACAGAAAATTGTTTGGTTTAAAGTTTAAGTATACTGCGCTAAGCGCGGCTGCGTCTGTAATTGCGTTCACTAGGTGGTTGACCACAACGGCGAGTTGGTGAGCGCGCAGGTTTAAGGCGCGCGTGATTCTTTTCTGTTGTTGATCGTAAAGTCGGCCTGGACCTCGGTCGTTTTGCTTGGTGATATTATTATTTATTTATTTTTGATTAAGCAGGAATTAAGGATGTTTTCTTTTGATTGGTACATTTGACCGAGTCGAGCGCACGTGCGGAGAACGACCCCAACGACGGCATCGACAATGATGGTACGGCCTCGTGCGGTAAATGGGGCGACGTAGGATGGCGCGCAGGGATAGCCGCGACACGGTTGGTAGGCCGGCGGCTTTCGGCGACTGTGCGTGCAGGGGCAGGCCGAAGAATGGCCCAGGGCGAGTCCTTGGTCCTGAGCGCTATGCGTTACCACTTTATCTAGAATTTCGAGCCTGCCGACACCAGGCTTGGGCTTAGCCCTATAGGTTATGGCATCGGACTACTACTACAGAGGTTCAAGGATCGAGGCTGGCGGGTGTCCCCCTTTTTGCTTTGCGAGCGGCGACGTTGAAAAAAGGTTATTTATTATTTCTGTCATTACTATTTTTCTATGCGCCGGCATTTATTTGACTTGGACGCGAAGCCGGATTTTTGTGGTCGACGCGGCAGTCGAGGACCTTGAGTACGCGCCTCTTTCGATGGGGCCGACGGGTTCCTGCGTATTTGGGGATGCTAGCAAAATTCCTCTACCCAGCCCGTCTTAAATCACGGATCGAAGGGCCGAAGTGCATGCGAGCCAAGGGGAGGATGCTTAGTCTGTGGGGCGGAAGGTGTGGAGTGGCGGGCCCCTTTGCGGGTGCGCCACTGGCACAGTGGGATAGGCGTGCCGGGGTGAAGGTCGCAGACTGTAACAGCGGAGTATATGGAATTTGTCCCCACTTCGGTCTTTAAAGTTCTCATTTGAATATTTGTTACTACTACCCAGAGCCGCACCTGGCCTAGTCCACCAGGGCCCATGCTAGGCTTTGCAGCAAGCCGTGCCGCGACCAGCTGTCTGAGCGGGAGGGGGTGATGGGCTCAGTCAGAGTGGAATCGGACAATGGAAGGCTATAGCAGGACGAACGACAAAACCGGCCGGCCACACTGCTTGTCGGACAAGGTATGGGGAGAAAGGCTGATTGGGCCATCGCGGGGTCAGCCAGTTTCTGGGATATCGCCTGGCGGAACAACTCTGGCTATCGCTGGCTGCTACGGCCGGGCATTGCGTTGACAAGTGGGGAGCATTCGGGCCAAGCGCAGTGTAGGTGTTGAGGTTGTCGGATGGGCCGCTGCGTTGAGCGTCAGTGCGTGCATAGGAAGGCACATCGAGCGCGGTGGCAGAAAGAAGGCGACGGGGCGGATGACTGTGGACGGAGAGGTTGTGGCGGATTGTTAGCGCAGCGGGTGAGAAAGCAGCAGGGCGACAGGACGAAGATAGGCAGTGGAAGGGGAGAGCGAACCTATGCAAGGAGTCGGGCTAGGTGCATGCGACGTGCAGACATAGAAGGCGGGGTGGTGAAAGACGGTGGGAGAATCCGGATGGGAAGGCGTACCGGATGCATGCGAGGTAGGAAAGGAAGGGCGGAGCTAGCACCGGGCGATGAGGCAACGGGGGTCGAGGGACAGGCCGCTACCGGGCAACCGTCGAGCAGCGCAGGGCAGCCGCGGGTGGAGTGGCGACATAGTAAGTGACGGGCTGAACCCGGACGTAGGGCCCTGCCAGGTTCGTACGGGGACAAAGGGGACTATGGCGGATGGAGGAGAAGCAAGAGGGAAACGAGTATCTCGCTCGTTTCCGAATGGAATCGAGCGAGGAAAGGATTGAAACGTAGGTTTTAGAGTAGGGCGAGACTGATTTCGGTGTTGGTTTTGGTAAAGGGGTAGTTAGTGAGGAGGTAGGAGGAACAGATACCGCGCGAAACTATCGGGGCAGGCGGCTATCACAGGAAGGAGAAGGTTATAACGCGCCTGTTCCGTAGCAGGATCGGACGAGATAAAGCTTGGAATTGGGATTTTGGGGATGGGCGAGTCTGATGATAATGTTAGTTTTTGCATTAGATTAGTATAATAGAAGTTAGTAGAAGAGTTAGTACAAAGAGATGGACAAATGGATATGGCAGAACTGGGAAGGAGGTTCCTCCTTCGATGCAAAGTAGAAACGGGCGAGAGGTAAGGTGCTAAGAAGGTTTTTATGCAGGGCGAAACTGACTATGATATCAGTTTTGGAAGATGGTTAGTAAGATTAGAGTTAGATAAGTTTAGTCTGCGTCGGGATATAGAGAGTGGACGAAGGTAAGGGACGAGAAAGTGACCTTTTGCTCGATTCCCAACAGAATCGAGCGGAGAAAAGTGTTGGATGGGGGTTCTTCGTAGCCGCGAGGTAGGTAGTGAGGGTAGTGTCTGCTGTTAGTGGGCGGATTTTGCGATTCGATAGAGCGGAGCCGCGCCCAAAGTGGGGGTGAGACGAAGCACCATGTATTTGACCAGTTTTTTGCGATAAATTCATTTCGTGTTTATATATCTTTGTTTTCGTTTTTTTTTTGTTAGTGTTGTCTGCCTATACTGATGTTAGGAAGCAGCCTCTCTAACTCAAGTTGCTAGAGGCATGGTCGGGTTCTAACGAGGT